CGGCTTTGGCGAAAGTTGACTATGATATCAAGACGTATCATAGCCTGTCAATAAGTAAATGCTTAGAGACTTAATTTATGTGTGATGTACATGGTGCCATGTGCGTGGTGATGTGTGGCAACAGCGCACTGAACTGTCAGAGTCGTTTATACGCTCCGCGCACGTTTTCTTGAGTCCTCGCGTCGGTAGTTGCGAAAGGTGGGCTATTTTGACGGAAGGAATTTTGTATCAAGTTTGTAGTTTGTTTATCGATGAAAAATGGTTTCTATTACACGGGAGCAAACATTTCTGAAACAGATTTTGCGTACCACGCTCGTTGCTGTCATTTATTCTTTATCCAACTAATGTTGGTAAAGGAGTGGGGGTAGGTATTCCGGGGCTGAAAACTTTATCTGAATTCACCAATAAGAGTAATGTATATATGTCGGAAGTTCTTTACAACAAACTGAGATTTGAGACAGGACTGTGTTTAGTCTGCATATCTTTAATATCATATTATTCGTGAATAGAAACAACAATTTTAAATGGAAAACAAAGAATAAAAGGGACAAATTCCAATTATTCCCTATGCAGTTGATGCAAATGATACTAACGGAGATCAAAGATGACCTACAAATGATCTAAGTAAGTTAAAACTTAATTATGATATAATAATTTCTCCTAACTAAACAAAGGGTCTAATTGTCAATCTTCTCTGAATTCTTGATTGCTGTTATGTGGGTTGAATAATTTTGAAATCCCCTTTAAATCAGGTCCACTTTTAGGGTAAACCTGACACAATGTTTATGAAGATGTAGATGGATTTGAAAATTATTCAACCCACTTGAGTATGCAAATTTTGTCTGTTTCATTCATGTTACTTCTAAAGTGCTTTAAAATTTTAAACATGATAATTGAAATCCATTTTGCTTGCATGTTTATTTAAAATCCTTTTCAATGAAGATTTTAAGGGAAAATTTAACATTTTCTCATCATGCACTAGTATTTTGCAAGTACAGTCCTTTCAGTGCTTTACTCAGAAGTTTGCTAGTTTCAGAAGATCATCGTGTATTTCTTCTGAATTGAGATAGGTTGAACTCGGTTTTCAAACAACATAGAACAAGTTCATACCAGGGTAGGGAAACAACCTGCCTGATTGTTTGAAGGAAACTCTTCAATTTTACCTCTTGCTGTGCAATCCTCTGTTGTACTCCATAGGTAGAGAAGTTACATTTATGTCCAGAAGCAAAAAAAAGGGCTACCTCAGCACTCGCAGCTAGCTGACGCTCCTGTAATCACTAACAACCAACCAACCAACAATCCTACTTGATGCCTGGCGCAAAATCAGAAATTTTAGTTATCTGGTGGCGGGAGTGAAATATTATGCTAAATTTTTTTAAAACCGAACAATCTCTTGCCCAGTTTACACAAGATTCTCTTGATCGGACACACATGAAGGTAACCTGTCGAAAACCGGACAACTGGCAACAATAGTTGCAATCTGTTCGCCAGCACAAAAAGAAGTTCAAGTGATAAATGTCTAAAGTGCTAGTGTTTAAATGTTATGTGTAGATTTTTAAAGTGCGCGATGACAGTTACTAGAAGCACACTAATAGTTTTGTTGGCTTATTGGTTAGTTTCCTTCCTCAAAGATAATAATTTATTACTTATTTCGTGATTAAATTGAAATGTTATTTTGGTTATACCTATATTGTTCTATATCACAGCTGTGACAAAATGTATTCGGCACACAATAAATTACACAGTTGATAAATAAATGATACATTCATATGTACTCCATATGGTATTGAATGAGTCCATATTGTTATTTTGCATAGAGGATATATATATATATATATATATATATATATATATATATAATATATATATACTCTATGTTATTTTGTCATGCCTTCCTCACGGCGTATTTTGGTTAGCCGATGTAAAAGGGGCAGCACTGAGTCAGCCGATCAGACTGAACAATGTTATCTATGATATAGACTGAATATTTCTGATTTATTAGTTACGGTTGCATGTGTTTCATGTCGAACGTTTCGTCTATTTAAATGGTGAAGTGGTGTTCTGTGGTACCCATTCTTTGATTGCTATTGATAGCTGGTTTGAAGTGACTTAGAATTTTGTGTCGAAACTTTGGTTATGTCTGATTAAAACTTAATACAACGGAGTTTGTTGATTAGGCTGTTGACAATAGCAAGTGTTTCTAGATAATAATGGAGGAGGTTAATATTTTTGCGGAAAGTATAATTACTGTAGTCTTCTAGAGTTCTGTGGGAAATACAGATTTTGGAGTTGTTATCGTTCCCTACGTTGTCACGGAGGCAGTTCATTCCTTCACGAATGGCACGATGAGGGATAATAGCCATCAAAGCTGATTTGCCTTTGCAAATAGTTTTTATGATACTGGAACGAATTTTTCTTATCAATTCTTAGCGAAAATGTTATTTCCATCTGTATTAACAATGCAACATGTATATGGGTTACAGTGGGATCCTAGAATCTAAGAAAACGCACAGAATACGTTTCTTTCTGTAGTACGTCTCACACACACACACACACACACACACACACACACACACACACAGTTTTTAACTGTTTTTTTACGTTAAATACATAAATAAATAAACTTTCATGTTACCTAAAGTGACCAGACATCCCGTACTAGCCGGAACAGGTTTTGTGTGTGTGTTGAAAGAAAAGCTGGACACCAAAATGTCTTATTGGGACGTATTGGCATAAAGAGCAGTCAGCAATTTTAAATTTATCATATTGTATTCCTTTTGGTTTGCATTAGTTTATGTATTATAGACTATTGAAATCCAGCAGGGAGAGAGTCAGTGGTTGTGTTAGAAGGGACTTCCTCGTTATAGGAAGGGAAAATGAGCTGTCGCGTCATTTGAGTTCGCATATGCTTCATCGTTGGCGAGAAATTCAATGATCCGAACCTTCTGCTTCTGCGAGTTTCTATGCGACAATGCGAGCAAGCAATCTTAATTGAGGAACATGGGCCAACTTTATAATGAATATACGTGTAAATGAATCAATTTTTTAAATGTCTCATTCTAATGTCCTTCTAATTTGCAGATATTTTGCCACTTTTACAAAAAGTAATTTCTACAAATAAATACTTGAAATAAATTTAATGTTGCGGATTAATTTCTTAAATTATTGTTTCCAGTCATATCCAATTATGTTTAAAAGGCATAGTTTACTGCAGTGAGTAATGTTGCTTTTTGTTATGTGCATGTGTCCCATATTTTAGTCACGGAAAATCAATATGCCCCGTTTTTTAATTTTTAAGATCTGGTTACCTTAACCCGGCTGCGGTTCTAAAATTTAATCGCTCTTAAGGTTCTCGAGTGCAAATGGACCCTTATAACTTCTCATGCCCATTATTTATTTTTACAATTAACGTACTTAAAATAAAATATAAATGGACGTGGAAATTTTAATTATACACATTTATCAATTTAAGATTGTACAATCGTGTAAAATAGTGCGCACCCGTAGAAAATGTTTAATAGTTAAAAATGTTAAGAATTATAAATATTGACCACAACTGTGATTAGCATTATTTTTACATAAACAACCGGAGCAGTGGAAAGTTCTTTTATCTGTTTTGGAATGTAAATAACAACTTTCCGCTTTTTTAGTAGAATCGAACAAAACAGAAGTTTGAAGAGATGAATTATTAGCCGGCTTTCAGTTTTCCCTACTCCTTGATGACGTAGTTTATGGTAAATGTGTTCTACGGGTAATAACAGACTTTACTAATGATTTTTTTAAAAAAAAGTTTTGCATAAAAAATATTATTTTGTGATATTTTTCTCTCCAATGTGGATTTACTTTTGTGATCAAGAAAAATGAATTGATGCAAGATATTTCTATTATGGTAGAATTCCTGAGCACCCAATTCGGGAACTTCGTTCTGCATACGCTATTTATAAAATACAAAAACCCACCCGACAATCGAAGGCCCTCCCCCTCTAAGGGATTTTAATTGGCTATAATAATAATAATAATAATTTTATATTATGTAAGAAAAAACTACTACAGGGTTTTTTTGTTTTTATTTACTATGAATAAGAACTGTTCATGTTATCTAATGCATCAACAGCTCCCTCAGTATAATTATACGTTGTTATTATTTCTGGTTTCTGTTCTTGGCAATTGCTGACTCTTGAATCATCATTGTGTAGTGTTTTTTGAAGAATATGTATAACACATGCTCTTTTGTAGCACGCACGACACTACCGTCATGTTTGCTATACCCCTTGGAGAAGTGTTGGTGGTATAGAAGATTTGTTTTTGGTATAGTTACAGCCAGAGTGATACCTCGTTTCAGAAGCTTGTGACCTAACTGCTATGATGTAAAATTCTTAGAACATCGACACTATAATGCTCAACGAAACATTGTCATCTTACACCTTATCAGAAGATAGTCTCCGATAATAACATGATCCTTCCATAGGATGACTACGGATTCACCCAGTTATTATATCAAATATCTAACTTTAGTAAAAAATGAAAAATAAGGTTTAAGTGGAGGGTCTAAATGGACTCGAAGAACTATGTGTGAAAAAAAATCATAACTCCTCACATATTGAAAATAAATTAATAAAATTGTATACGCAGGTAGATCAAACAAACTTGTTTAGTCAAGCAAGCAAGCAAGTCAGAGAGAAACAAAACAAATGCAGCATTTTCTTAAGCTATAAAAAAATTAAAATTTCATTTGGATGGAAATGGACCCTAAACCGCAGGAGGGTTTAAGTTGCCATTACGAAGTTTCACATTCGTCTCCTTGACGTCACGTGACCAAATGTCGCGCGGCGCTGCTGCGTCTGCGCCAATCGCCGGTCGCGAGGCGGGCTGCGCTACCGGCGGGGAGGGGGGGGTATTGTTTGCGGTCGCGGATTCCTCGAAGACGCAGATAGTCGGGCAGTTCGTGAGAAGTGACTCAGCTGTTCGCATCAGAAACCCCTGCGAGGTTTGGTTTTGAGTATTCGTGTGATTCACGGAAGGACATCGCAATAATTACATTGAACATGACAGCCCCGCCACACGTACGTATTTGTATAAACATTTTATTAACGTCTTGCGTATAATATTCAAACTCAAATTAATCAACTCATACATATACATATTACTTTATTAAAAAAATATAAAAACATTGAGAACATTGTACAGAACAGAAACCAGAGGGTGCTCAAATGGTCCGCCTGTCTCTTATAAGAATAAGGATTATTGGAATAAGAGACTCTTCCAAATTTAGTTTTTCAGGTAGTCTTCTTGTGTGTTCGATGCAATTTTGTAATATTTAAGTTTGATGTATCTATTTGATTCACACATATTATTTACATCGACTAGATTAGTATTTGTGTGGTTGCGTCAATTTTTTAGTGTGAAAATTGTAGAATTGGAACATTTTTCGATATTTGAGGCGTAAGGAAATTAACCAAGCCGCTTAGTAAATAAATGCTCAAATGTTAAACTTAAGTGACTCATTTGTGATGAGTGACAAAGTAGTATATGGTAAGATGTTTCCTGAATTTCTGAAGCAGTTGTCGGAAAGCAGAGACTGCTACAATAGCCAATCATACACGATGGTGGGCAAAAAAGGATAAACATGTCCACTAAAATGTTAGTTCAGATTTTGTTTCCTTTTGTAAAAGGGAACAATGAACAATTTTTCTAAATTGTACCCTCTCAAATTCTCAGAAAATGAATCACCTCGGGTACGTGTCGCGTTTTTTTAGACGAACACCAGTAAAGCGATTCTTTTAGGGCACGCATAGCATACTAACATTTTTAGCACTTGTGCGAGAAGACTATGTTCACATATAGTAGTTAACGAAACGACTGTATAAATAGGCGTATAATTGCATGAGTGGTATGTTCAAGAAAACGAGCGACGATAGGAGCGAGTTGCTTCATTTACCACGAGTGCAATTATTTGCATTTATACACGTGTTGCGTTCAATATTTTTTCGTTTCCATTCAAACATATTTTTATTTTGAATAATAAAAATATATATTTAGCATTCCATATTTACTTTGATGATGTCATTTTCATTCCGAAGAAGACCAATTTAAGTAGGCATTGCCTGTGTATTTACGATCACCATAGTGTCTTAATGAATTTAGAAAGCATGGAGGATTACAATAATATTCCGGACGCAATATTAGAAGAAGCTGAAAACGCAATGAATGCATTGCTCCTTACAAAAAGTAAAGAGGTCTATTAAAAAGAATATAATCAATACAAGTCGTGGAAAATTCAAGTATTAATTATCAAGTATATTATCATCGCAGTGCCCACAGCGTCAACAACTCACAGCGCTGTCCCTGGGCCGAGTCATATTGAAATTAGTGATGTAAATATTCACAAGCCTTCAGAGTTGGTTCCAAGTAACGCTGGCGTAGTTTTTTTCAAAATTAACTAATTGTACTTAGAATTTTAATGTATATAATAGTAGGAAATAAGCTTAGATGTGTTCATAAATATTTGTTTTTCATGTTACACGGAACCTTTGAATTTCAACTTTTTGTTTATTTATTTGTGTTTCCGTAGAGACTTAATTAAACGAATTTGAGCCTTTTGCCGAGTTCTCATTGGTAGTTGCGTGATTTTAATTGCACGCGTGCCATTAAAGTAGTGATAATAAACGATTTTTCATGTAATAATGAGCATAATTCATGTAGAAAACGAAAAAATATGTAAATGGAAGGAAACATGAAATGACACTTTAACTTCTCGTATCATAAATAACTATTTTAACATGCTGTTTCAACAAAGCTATTTTGCACATCCATGTTTGCCGCACGATTTGTAATGTTTGGTAGAATATTACAATCGTAGTCGGAATGAAAGAAATCGCTGTTTCGCACTCGGAAATCAAGCAAGAGAAATCATCTTTCTTATGGCATGGTTTGTTATTTTTTTAAAGCAGAAAATGATATCTGTATATTCCACCAGGATACGGAGCACACTCAAAAATAAAATATGAGCCAATGTTAGGTGAAATTCTGCGTTTAGTGATTTTTCAACTCGATGTTTAATTTTAACATGCCGAGCGCGAAACGTGGTTTTTGTGCTTGTTCGCCGTATATGATGTATCTATTTTTACTTTTTTGCTCTGCTTACGCAGTAGAGAGAAAGTTATGTAATGCAGTGGTATAAACGGCGAATGTTCAGTAGAAAAAATCTTATTGCCGGGCCCTAGTAACGAAAAAGTGGAAAAATACAGTTACTACATTTAGAAAAAGAATCTCTAACACGTGGTAACCAGAATCTATGTTTTGTGGGTCCTTCGTACAGAAAAATCGCGGACGGAATCAAGGACGAGAGGATATTTGTGAAGCAGGAGTAATTTCAATCGCGACCCACGTAGTACTAAAATTTTTAAAAAAATGTACATGACTTCAATGAAAACCCACAATGAACAACAATTTTTCTATGAAGGAAAAACCTGTATCTTCAATTTTGTAGTTCTAGGAAGGTGCGGAAAAAATATTCAAACTTTTGCAATTTTCAAAACGCTCATGTTTCAAATAGACTTATGCACAACTCAACCGAACAACCTGAATATTTTACACAGATTCTTGTTTTATCGTGAGTGTTGTTTCATTGTATGTTTCATCCCCCTCCGTGAACCACATCTGGCTAAATTGAACTACACTTCACTTGAGCACAGGCTATTTGTTATCACTGTTTATACTACGAACGTATGTTACATTTCGGAAGAAACTTTTATGTGTGTGTATGTGTAGTGAAGTCCAATACAGAGACAACTTTCTTTCAGCCGTTCCGATTTCAGTTAAGAGCCTGATCGGTGACGTTCAGTATTCGCGAAATGCTTACATAGAGTATTTTTATTTTACATATTTTAAGCATTTTCTTATATACTCTGTAAAAAATAAATACATACATTACAATAACTTCTCTTCCCGATTTATAACTAATTCAATCGAGACATTGAATAACTTTCATGACAATTATCAATAAAATGTATGTAAATAGAATACCCACAAAGGTGGCTCTGGGCATCAACTGATATGGCAGTGTTTCTGACCGGGATATCCTAGGGTTCCAGTACTGACAGTGCACGATTTTCGACTGTATAGATACATATCTAGGTGAGGTTCTGGCGCTACCCGTAAGATTATTATAGCAACCGGCTGCTCTGATCGGTAGTTTTCTGTTGTTTCTCCGATCAATACCAAGTGAATGTCGGAGCAGTACCACAACAAGCGGGTCAATGACCATGAGCAATCATTCCTTCCTCTTCCCTTACTTACTTACATACACACACACATACTCACACACTATCACGCACTACACTACCAAACATGCCAGGAAACCAGTTGGGAGCATAGGGCATGTCACGGCTGAGGTGATGCCCCACTGCTTGGAGATTACCTGGATGGGGAGAATCTTCGCAAGCCAACGAAGGTCGGCGCCGGATCTCGCCAGCCATCGAGGGAATATCTCTCGATAAAAACATACTCTACACTTGTGGGAATACCTTTTCAGTTGACGCACCCGGAATCAGTAATCAATTAATCAATGTGTGTGAACGCCTCTGAGCTAAATTCAAATCGCCTGTTTCTCGACCAAGAAATACCTCCTTTCTCTGCTAGCTGAAGAAAGGAGCGTATCGAAATTTGCGTTGTCAAACGGAAGAGCGGTCCCGATGGCCTGAGTCTCGCCACGTAAAATAAGGCAAATTCAATTCAATATGTTTCATCGTCGGTCGTTGATTGCGTCACTGATTACATCGCACAAGTTATGTGCGCGTTCGCCCATTCGCTACGAAAGCCCTTAACCACCGAAATTGGACCCTTGGTTCTCACAAACCACATGGAAATCCAACCCCAATCTCATCGCCATGAAACGTTATTCTTTTCGGAGAAAGCCGCGTAGATATTCGTGGAAGAATTTTGTTTGAAGAGCAGAGGAAAGATGATCCAAAAGGGTCAAATGTTTCACTGCCACACCTTTGATATTGGAGATGGATCAGTTATCATGTTATTTAATATCCGTATCGAGTTTTTCATTCTTTACGTAAACTTTACCCTAGAAAAAAGAAAGTCGGACCTTTGAACATTGGTTTTTACACACAAACATTTACATTTGTTTTATTTTTTCTTGTGTTCAAAATGCCCTTCCTAAGAATGACAAATATTTCCCATTAAAAATCAGAACAAATTTTCAGAGGTACCCGATAGCCTTGTACCACTGAACACAACTTCGCGTAATAGAAAGCATATTTTTGAATGGATTTAAAGAAAACCTGGGGAATATTCACATTTGAATATTCAGCTTATGAAAACAAATTTAGTGTCTCTGCGTTGTAATTAGTAGCCCTCGGTCTAACGCAAAAAAATTAAAGAAACGCGTTAGCAACAGGATATTGTTCTATGAGGATAATCACGTCGTTTAGTGAAGAAATCAGCTGTTTTAAGCTCTTGAAATGTGATAGGAAAGACCCTAAAATATCGTGTTTAGAACAGAAACCCGTCAAGCGACGTAGTTTGGTGGGTTTCTGCTCTAAACCAAAGGTAAATTTCCTTTTAACTCTGCAGCGGCCGCAGGCGGACAAACACGAGAAAAGGATGTCACATGCAATCGAAGCTAGTCCTTTTAACGGTTATCAGCACCATCTTAGGGGTCAATTAGGTTGCACGTTCGAGAGGGCATATTTTTTAAGAGATTTACAGGAAGTCTTGCCGTGATCTCTATCTGTTCTTCTAAAAGTAGTGAGACAGTTGTTCTTTTGGAAGGTATTGTAAGTAGCATCTGTTCAGAGTGGCTCTTTGAAATTTATTTTATAATTTTGAAATTCATATTCCACGCGGAGTTCGTCGTGGAGAAACTTATGAGCGGAATATCATCCTCAATGCCAGGGTGAAAGGCGACGCATATGTTTCGTACTCCGGTAAAAAAGTAGTTCTAAAAAACAAAAACCGAAAGGCATTTCTTGCATCTACAATAGTACGTACATATAAAACATTCACTCGTTTTACTCAGTGTAAGGAAGCACGTCCATAGTATTTTCGTTATATTCAAATATTTCATTAAACACGTTTGTTTTATATTTTACAGTTCTTGTTGTATCAATTATCACAAAGAAGATAGATAATTTAATAAAACTGAGACCTTCAGTAGTTAGCTATGAATAATTTGATGAAAAACTTTGTATTGGCTACCAAGAGGTGGTGATGGTGATATTGCGCTTCAAGATGAAATAACAAGACCGAGTTTTCAAGATTTTTGTGTAAAAAATTCTTATTTTCTAAACTTATTTCTTCTAGTGTAATAAATTTCATTATAAGCGATTAATACTTGTAAATACTGATGTTACAAATCAAAACAAGTTATTTCTGGTTATTTATTGCAGAAACCCGTCAAGTATACGGACTTGAGCTTTTTTTAAAAAATATAATGATATTGGTAAACAAAAAATATTTACATGAAAACTTCTCATTTATCAACTGTTTTAATACGAAAAGAAATATTTTTACAACAGAAATACCAAGCTTACATCGCAATGTCATTCTTTCTTAGTTTCTCGAAGAGAGGAATTTCGTATTTGAAGGGTTTCTGAACTAAACGAATCAATTGACGCCAACGGGGGGCTGTACACCCCAATGGCGGATGGTTGGCAACCCTGCTCCGCAGCTACCCAGTCGACGGGCGGTTTTTTGCTCGTTCTCCGCCGCACCAGTTACGCCTCGAACCACGTGACCTCAATACGGGCACTTCGTGTCCAGCCGCCATGTTACATTAAACGAGGAGTCTTAGGAAACATTTTGAATGTGGCATGAAGTACAGCGTTATTACGTATAGTGTCATTACGAAAAAAGAGAACATTTCTTAGAAAAATTAGAGGACTCTTCATATAAAATGTTTTAATGTAATACTTTATTTTTCTTAAAGACAAAATAGTACTGACAAAATAAATACTTCATTAACAGTCATTACTTTCGTAATCACACAATAAACACACTTTATTATCATTACTGTCTTTTCCACCAGAAGTATTTGGGGGTTGATGAAATCTTCTTCAACAATTAAAACTTTGCTTTGCTTTGCACCTTACAGCGAACTCTTTGAACCTTGAAGTAGGTCATTAAACAAGCATTTTCTGTTTGGCATCCTGTTCAAAATTTAAACACCACATACCATAATTAGCGCCACAGCACATCGAATCTGTAACCAGCACCATCATACAATAAGTTGTACGAGTTGATGGCAGCATTGTCACATTTCATGGAGAAAAGTATGGATTTTGACAGTTGTTAGGCGAGATAGTTGAGGTTCAATGTCATTTATTTATACAACAATGTAATATTATAATGTCGGGGACTCGAAAAAGTTGTAAAAAAGTGCAGCATCCGTCTATATATATGTTGCATTTAAAAGTAGTACCCTCTTTCCAATAAAAAAGGGATTTCGTACTTTCTTGCAAAATCCGCCCGGTCAGTTTTTCGTACTTCATAAAGAGGACATGTCCGGGCAAAAGAGGGCGTATGATAACCCTAATAAAGAGACAATTTGCAACAGTGAACAGCCAAAATAACACGATGGAGGTGTAGTTGGAATAAAAGATGCAATGTTATAAAACAACGGATCTAATATCTGTTTCAACGACTTGTAACAAGGTGATAATTTGGGTAATTGTCTGCATTTAAAATTCCTGCTAATATTGAGTAACAATATTCAAGGTGACAAGGTGATAATTTGGGTAATTGTCTGCACTTAAAATTCCTGCCAATATTGAGACGCAAACTCGTGCATGAACTCCATTGGCTGAAGCCGGATACGCAGCGCAATAGCTCACCCTTAGCCTTCTATCATTCACTGGGACTGGCGACGGGATGGGAAGAAAGGAACTTCCAAATAGAACTATAGCAATGGAAATGTTCTCTGTTATTTTTTTTTACAGACGATGCAGCTGGGTGACACTCTGGGTGACTTCACCTCCGCAGATTCAAGTTCCGATTACCTATCACGACAAATTAATTACTTATATCGACGCCTGTGCGAGACAAATAAGGATTTAACTGTCATGCAACAAGAATACGAATCAATTTCCCAACAATATGAAGAATTCGTCAGTTTGAAAAGTATGTAAATTTTTAATTTGTGTAATAAATTTGAAATACGTGTAGGTAAAACAATTAATAGTTTACAGATAGAAAATAAGAAATATCAACTAATTTGAATGTTTGCCGAACATTGACAAACAAAAACATGGGGCAATTCGTAGAATACAGAAACTTTGACTTCTAGTGTTATAAAATGATACGGTCAATCACTGTTTCGGAGGTGATGACACAGTCAATCTCTTGATTCGGAAATGATGAATGGTACAATCACTTGGTTCACATGTAAAGGTACAGTCAATACAATTCGATTCAACCAGAATCGATTCTTTTCTTTCGGTTTCTATAGAATCGGTATTCGAATCCGTTGCTTCCGATTCTTCTACATTCAAAATATCCGTTTAGCACGAGGCGCAAAACATCAAAATTACTAAAAAAAACTGAATTCTCGGCTATCCGGGAGACGCCGCGTCGTTGGCTGGGAGGCTGACGTTTCGCTTGACATGTCGCAGGCTTCCTCAGGGCAGTAACGAAGCACCCTGAGGAAGCCTGCGACATGTCAGGAGAACGTCGGCCTCCCAGCCAACGACGCGGCGTCTCCCGGATAGGCGAGATTTCATGGATTCGAGCCGCGGAAGCTTACGTATACATACTAAAAAAATGCTTATAAAATATATAAAAATATGTAAATCATTGGATTCGTCTTTTCACTCTCGTCATGACAGACTTCAAAAATATGAATAGCTCCATTTGAAAAAACCAACAAACAGAATTTACTCAATATCTCCTCAAATACAAGTGATAAAATAGAAAGGAATACATGTATCAATTAGCCCCATTTCCTCAAGCACTTCCGAGAACATTGCATTGCATTAACTTCAACTAATCAAAAACTGCAGAAGGTGCTAAAATTACGTGACTCACTCTGTGCATTTGTTTACTTTGCCACCGAGCACCCCCAATTGTAAAATACATTTTTATTCTATTCTATAAACAGCAGTTGGAAAAGATAAATCGTTTGTTCGATATGTTGTGTGCATGTCGTGTAATAGTGCTATCACATTTGCAGTTTCCTAAGAAGCGTGAAATGAAAGATACCATTATTTGCTCGCAAACTCCTCAATTGCTTGCTCTGATAAAAATAAAAGAATTAAAATAATACTTGGCGATTTTTTCAGCACAATTGCCACCCCTGCAATACCAATATCAACATAACCAACAGAATTACATAATTGGAACAGAAATATGTCATCAAGAAGATACTGTAGGAAAAATATTGGATGAGAAGGTAAGAATTTGCGTTCTATAGTGAACTTACAATATAGTGTTTTATTTTGATTTTTAATGTTTTTCAACAATACTGTTCAGATTCTTTTGGCGTATGTATTTCAGAAATGAGAAAATACAAAGAATTGGCTTTTTGTACGTTATATACAATTAGGATGACGCTTAATTGTTTATTTTAATTTCAATTCGACCCCCCCTCTTTTTTCCTTTTTATTCCAAGGGCCAATATTAGATCTCGTCTGATCCAATCGAAAGTGGGTATCCTATGTTTCATCGCCACAGAACATGGAAGTAATAAGTAAATATAAGATCCATTTTTTGTTGATTGACTAGTGGTTCCGGGAGCAAACTGATGAGGTCATTAGTCCCGTCAGTGTACTGTGTGTTATTTTTCGCCGAGGGTGGGCAGTGGGAGATGGTTTTTCAAACGGAGTTCACTTGAACGAAAGGAAGAAGCATCGATTAAATTAGTAACACATTCAAAGCTTCAGTTGTTCATCTGACCTGGTTTTGATCAAATATATTTATCATCTTTCTTTGCTCTTAATGCATTTTAAAACACTTTAAGAGCATTTTATTGATAATTTTGGCAATGTTTTAGGTCATCAAAATCCGCCCCTAATCATAACACATCTGAAAACGTTCTTTAGGGGTAAAAAAATCAACCACGTTTAAATGCTCAGCACGTTGTTGACAACTTATGCGCAATGTTTTATGAATGGGACATATGAAATAATGACACTAAGATAAGTGCCTACAACATAATAGGAGATATGTAGATATATAGTTTAAGATTTATAGTTTTTTGCAATAAATAGCTTTTCTTTTTGGGAACTTGCCTTGTTTTTATTAACAAAAGGAAATTAATTTGTGGATATCCAGCGTAGTCCATCAATTTTAGAGATCAGATGAATTTTTGTGCTTTTATTTTAATTTTCAATTTCTTTTCAGTGTGAATGAACTCAACAATCACTTACTTTTTCTGAATTACAATGCTATTTGACGTTTGTTTATCTGCCACCAGAAATCAGTTAAGAACATTGTTTCACAGGTTGCATACGTAAAGGAGCTTTCGCTTGCCTTTACGAGGAAGATGACGGACATAATGCCGCTAATGACGACCGTTCACTCCCAAGTGCTGTTCGATGATCTCATGCAGTGGAAGCGGGAGCAGCGACTGCAAGGCAACGGCGCCAAGTTGGTTCGAAATCTCAACAAAATTCAAGGATGGTAAGGAAACGGGGCCGGATTAACCGGTAGGAAAATTGGGCACAGTGCCTAGGGCCTACGATAGGGCCTCTTGATTTTTTAAAGTTTTCATTTAAAAAAATAAGAAACTCTATGTGACGTTTGGGGAATAAAATCAACTGCTCACGTTTTCTTAAGCTCCAGAACCTCTTCCGAACATTTAAACTATAAATAGTTGAAAGATAAATCAAATTAACATGGTAATAATAATAATAATAATAATAATAATAATAATTGAAACAACGTGAGATTAGCAACATTTGTAGGAACTGGAAATTTTCGTTCCCGAGTTATAGAAAACTTCTGCAAACGATCTCCAGGATTGATTTTTCTGCATTGATAACAAAATAGTAACTCACCCCCAGCTCTACTCCTACCACTACGAAAGCAAAATGAGAGTTGAACAAAACGTGCACATAGTGAAGCTACATTTATATCCAGAAGCAAAAAAAAGGGGGCCATTTCAGCGTTAAGTTTATTCATATTTATTCAATCATGTTTATTTCAGGACTAAATAAATCACACATTTACAAAATTATCAATTTTTATCTTTAAACTTCAATAACGTATACACTACACTATACACATTATAAACGTAGGTTTATAAAAAAGCGCGAAAAAAATCAAAATCAAAAACGGAGAAATCTTTCAATCGTAGATTTGTAAGACGTAAATTTCGAATGAATTGTATTTTCAGTATTTCTCTTCAATTACCATTTTTTAAATTCCAAAAAGTCCAATAAATACATTGTAATACGGTCCTATATTTTTATCTGAGGTCTACGACAGAATTTGTGCCTACAGCCTACGTCGAGCGTAATTTGATCCTGCAGATAATTAATAAGTACTGCACTTAAACTGACTTTTCTGTTTATTAAGATGCTATATTCGATTTCCTCTTTCAAGGGGAATTGCTCACTGTGACCATGTGAATATATGGTTTTTGAATATTCATTTTCTGACAAAATAATAGAAGTATCACTGATCTTTTGACGTAGTGTCCACTTATTCTTTATTCACATAATAAATTAAAGAAAGTTTCAAAACCGCAATTTCCGATAAAAAGAATGTGTACATGAGAGGTAGGGTTTATTTTAATCTCTTTGCGTTATTGTATATTCATTCTAATAAAATCCAAAGTAATTGCATTTTGTCAATATGGGTAATTCATCACATACAGGACAATTCACTTCAAATATTCACAAAATTTGAATTTTCTGTGATCAATAGTTTGTCAGAAAATATTCATTTTACGGAAAAAATAAACTAATGGGAAAACAGATTTGGAATTTATTTCCTAATGCAGATCTGGACCGTAGTTGGAATGTATGTATAAACATGTACTGTACACATGTGTGTGGACCGTAGCTGGACTCAACTTAAATAGAAACATGTAGCAGTGTAAGTTCGCTAATTTAAACAGCTCCCGTGAATTTTGAAACAACATTGAATACATACGACTATGAAAATTGACAGTTCAATTGAGAGGAGATGAGAGAAAATGGGGTGCACACGTGTTACATTAAGAGAAATGGACATAGTTCCCGTTACCATAATAACCTGCTTATATCTCGTTATAAACAGGAAAGATGAGATAAAATAATACCCCAATATAAATCAATTGTTGACCTCAATATTGATTCACACCCCTTTTAAACATTCGTGTTTTTGAAGTTAAATGTAATTTCTACTACATAAATTTTGCAATTTGTAAAGAAAGAAGAAAGAGAAAAATAAATTTCTATAATAGCACAATTCCTTGACCATAATTTGGATTTTTTTTAATATTTCAAAGAGTACCACCGGAAAATACGGTGAAAATTCCCTAAAATCAAACGACATAGGAGTACTTGAACTATGACTCTAACGTAAATAAAAATAAGATATTTGAGATGTGTTTGGATAATTGGAGATATCTCTCTTATTTACAGTTTACTAGGTTTATATTGGTAACCGGATGTTATTAAATCCATATTATTTATTTCGACTAATGTATTTGCAGGTGTGAACATTTAACTGAAATTATTTGGTCATGTCGGCAACAAATCGGCCAAGTAGAGGTAGTGCTCAAAAAATTAGGTTTTAGTATCCCTGAGGCATGCGAGGCACTACCTTACCTTCAAAGCCAGAGCAACCAGCTCCTGTCTTCTCTAGTTACAAGGTGAGCATCACTTCACATGTTTATGGAATGTGATAATACCACAATTATTACTTCACAATTGCAAAGTGAAGAAGCCAATTTTTTTGAATTGTTTGGTGTTACTGTTTCATAAATAAAAGAAAAAACAAAATTAATACATCTTTGGGGGACAAAGTAACAATAATGGTTTATGATAAGCATTCTTGTTCAGTCGTCCACGTGATGAAATACTTGGTTGACGAATTTCAGAAACCAATCAAATAATAGTAATTTTAATTCTCTGAAGTTAATCATAATTTAATTTTAATAAGGCTGGTTTATTATTTGAGAATAAATTTGCTTGCTTTGAAAATTGTTTTCTTTGCAGTACATTCGTAATAGAGAAACAACCTCAACAAGTTATTAAAACTAACACAAGAATAACTTCAACAGTGCGCCTTCTTGTTGGAGGAATGTTGAATATACGTGAAAATCCTCCCAAGGTAACATAAAACATTTTTAAATTGTGGATTATCAAACATGTTAAATTCATTGTTTTCGTATCTTCTTTTTTAATGTATTATTTCCTTTACTTTTATTTTGTTTAATGCTTCTACAGTTGTTCTATTTAAGACAAAGTAACGAAACTTTTTTTATCCAAAAGGCCATACATTCATTGACCAAATGCCAACTACGAGTAGCCTGTTTATATATTTTAAAGTAGTCACATACTCCGAGTGCTTTGAAGTACACAATCTGTACACAGGAGGTTCCGGTCTGACGAAGATAACGCCCATTAATGGGAAAATTTCCTGAGAAGTATACTTCGATTTAAACACAAGGTCTGGACGTAGTTCAGCGTGCGGAGTTAACCAATCGAGAGCTTGAACGTCCCTACAGTGACGTAACTCTGGGGACGTTTACGCTCCCGATTGGATGACACCGTAACAGTTCATGTCCTGTCAATGAACATTAGGAATAAATCGAAATATGGATAGTCTTGTCTTTCAATGATGTGATAAGTTTGCAGCCGACGATCCGTTGTTTTGTTGTTTTTTTTTTGAAGAGAGACAGTTGATTTGTGTGCGGTGCGTGAAATGTCATGGTGATTAGCTTCTTCATGACCGTGCATCTGTGTTTACCACCTAGATTGTAAAGATTGCTGTGAAGAATTACGGCTTCTACGTGTCTGCGTGCAGGACTGATCACCCTAAAAACCGAGATAGGGCTCCCAGCGACTTCTATTCCTTGTCAAATCTCAAGAAAGGCCTTCGGAAAAGAAACTTTTCACAGGACTGAGAGTAAAGAAGCAATTTTTGAAAATTTTCCGAACAAAACGGATCATTTTTTCAAATAGATAGAAATGTTAATACACAGGTGTGAAACGTGGATTGAAGGGAAGGATGATTGTTGAAGTAAAGGAAGTTGAAACGTTACTGTGTATCACGAATAGAAGTTAGTGAGGCCACAAACTTATGGAATCCTCCCCGTAAGCAGGCTGGCCACTCCTTCTTCGGTCTCGACAATTTCTTTGTGGTGTTGATCTGGGTTTGCTTTCCGTTTTCCCACAGGAGCTTGGAACTGCGGGAGAACAATAGGTAAAACTATTCTATTATGGATTACGGATTATCCATACATTACGTAAAGCAAAAGAGGAGGAGAGGTTTTTAGGAAGCGTTACATAGGGGTGGGGGTATAGGTTTGGTGTTACTAAACATTGATATTTTTTTATATTATTCAACATTATCTGATATAATTCCCTTTTTGAACCTGGCTCTAAAACATTAAAATATAAACTAATTAATTTATTTTTAAAACATAAATTAAAGTTATTACAATTAAATTGTTACAATAAATGTAAATGCTTTTTCTACAATTTTTAATTGAATGTGTAAGATTACGAAGAAAATACTTAAAACTGATTTACTGTATATTCTAGAATCCATTTAAATCGATGCAGTAGACTCTCGCTCATGCAACATCCATGACGGCAGGATAATCAACCATTTCTTCGTGTGTGCGTCCTGCCTTCACACGCAACTTACCCCAAGCTCGTTGTTAGTAAAACTAAAAGAATTGCACACGATTTACATTTAGATTTATTTAGTCAAAAAGCTCTAAAACTGTATGTGACGTAGGGAGGAGAAGATTATCTGCGCACGTTTTCTTTAGTTCCAGAATCCCTTCCCGTCATTTTAACTTTAAGTAGTTGAAAGATGAGTAAAAGTTTGACATAAAAAAATTAAAATTAAAAATCGAAAGATTAGCAATATTTGAAACATTGTCATATATTCGTTGCCGAGTTATAGAAAATTTATTTGCATCGGTACACGAATTGCAAGTTTGATTTTTCTGTACAGCTAGCAAAATAGCAAATCGCCCTTACCTTTACTCTTACCATTACAAGCAAAAGGAGAGTTCAACAAAACGTGCACATAGTGAAGCTTTGTTCAGTGGGTCAGGTGAACTGGACAAAAACCTGATCGAGATGGGGGTTGACCCGGAAGCTGAAGTACATTATTTATTACAAACATTTTAAGTCTTTAAAAAATTGTACAATACAAATGTAAACTAATTTATTATATATCATTGTTTGATTAAAATAAACATTATTTTTCTTTTTGATAACTCATACAAAATCCACAAAAGAAAATAGTTTCAATATAGTTATGATTCGAATAACTACATATACAGACCTAATTTACCAATGGGAACTTCTTATTAATTGCTGTTAATAGTTGTCTTTATTCAAACTCATGTGGATTACTCATAATCTTGTGATCCAAATACAAAAATGGTGTAGATTCATATATTTAAATCTTTATTTTTGTTTCAAAAATAAATTGCTAATTCTTGCAGTTAAAACTGTCAAATTCATATAAATTCTATTAAATTAAATAATCCAATTGTGAATATCATGCAGATTTTCTTATAATAAGATGAAAATAGTCTAAAGAAGCATCAAACTGTTAATTTGCTTTAGGTTTCAGTCACTATTATCAATGAAGCGCAGGCAAGATCTTTTCTGAAGGACAAGAAGAAATTTGGAGGTGATAATTCTGGAGATATTCCAGACAATACTGGCGTAATGGAGTTTGATGAATCAACAAAATCTCTCTCTGTACATTTCAAGTTTGTATTTTCCTTTGTTGCGATATATCAAAGTATAAAGAGAGTACTAGAAAATAATTTACAAATATTTTTAATATTTTTCTAGGAATTTAAGACTAAAGAAGATTAGGAGAACAGAAAAGAAAGGTTCTGAAACCGTTACCGATGAAAAATTTACCCTTCTGTTCCAATCTCATTTCTCTGCTGGCAACGGCGATCTTCTTTTTCAGGTTTGGAAAGATTTGAACCCTACTTCAGTCGACTCCGGTTGTAGTGAACTCTCCGTTATAGAGAACTAAAGTCTCTGGACGCGTTCCACTTACGTTACAAATATGCACAAGAGTATCCGGTTATAACCTCGGCTATAGTGAACGTAGGAAACACAATTACCTAGAAATTAATTTCCTCCTGGGAAAAAAATGATGTCGCCTCAGTGTCCCAAATCCTAGGCAAAACTCTAGACAGCTTGGAAACAATATCCTCGGCCAAAGGTCATAATCGAAGAAGTCTTCCCTGAGGTGAAGGTAGAGGACCCGGAGTTGGGACCTTTAACGATGAATACCACTCAGTTTCACTGCGGAAACAAAGGCCGTGTCCTCCGTGGGCTACAACTGGCGGCGGCGACGCGCTATTACTTACTTCAGTATCAGTCTTGGTGCTACTTCATATTCCGCAGGTCAAAGCGCGTAGAGTTCTACGTGGGCGACAGGAAGCACGCGACTGCCGCAGCCTGGCGACATCCGCCGACCCCAGCGGAAAAGCGATCGGTTTCGTTAGTCGCTTACTCCCTCTCGCCACCGAAAGCATCTCCCATATTATTAGGCGAGTAAATGGGTCTTCGGAGAGTAGGGCGATGTACAAGAGGCATTGAAGGGTGTCAGGACTGCATTACGATATTTAGACACTGAAAACAATGTAGAATCAAGAACGGAGAGATCACGAACTGTGGAGAAGGATCTAGAGAAATGCCTAATAAAAATGTAGGAAGTAAACTCTATAATAACAAATTAATATCTATGTTGAAATTTTATTTACGTTTGACACTATAGAATATAGTGAATCAAAAATCTTTGTTTCCAGTGCACTGTAACCGAAGTCGACTGTATTTCGTACATATTCAATCTTATTTTTAATTTCATTAAAAGCAAGATACTTGATGTATAGTGCAAATTACTCAATTTTGATAGAGCTAATAGTAATTTCCCTCTAGGTGTGGACACTCTCTTTGCCCGTTGTCGTCGTTGTTCACGGGAGTCAAGATCCCCCTGCCTGGGGAACCGTGACCTGGGACAACGCGTTTGCAATACCAGGGCGACTTCCCTTCAGTGTGCCTGAGCAAACGACTTGGGACCAAGTGGAAGGTGCTATCAAAATGAAGTTTATGGGAGTTACTGGCTGTTCTCTTTCAGACGAGAATCTAAAATATTTGGCGGAGAAACTTTTCGGGTAAGAAAAGTTGTTACAAAATTACAGGGGCGGACCCAGTTCTCGGAACCATGTCCCAACCTCAAAAGTCAACAACTATTGTAATTTTATCCAATTCATCCAAAATAATTACAACGAATAAAGTAGTAGCCACGGAACGCGCTCGATTTTTTCTTTCTCTTCTTTGTTCTATTCTCACCCTTCACGGAATAAAAGAACCGTTGGAGTATACCAGATCCATGATACTGTAAAAAGGAAACTTGTTACAGTATCATGGATCTGGTTTACTCCAACGGTTCTTTTCTTCGGTGTTTATGTTTTTTTTTGTATGCAGGAACTTGTAAGTACTTAAAATTTGATGGAAGAGCAAACACTATACAAAAAATATATTTTATTCATTGCACTGAAATTATGTTCATAATTGTATTAAACTTATAATAAATAATTGTAATAATAAGATACTTCATCCATAATTATTGAATTAAAACAAGTATAAACTTGAAATCTTTGTTAATAGTACGAGCATTTGAATTGCAAATATTTATTATGATACTTTGAAATTTTTAGTATCCTCTGATGAAATATTATAAGACAGGGATGTGACATACTTCTGTTGTATGTGGATGGAGAAATTTTCCCTCCCTAACACATACTTAAAATTTTCCTGCTAAGATGATATATTTTGGTTATTTTCTGTAAAATATTTTATTAAAATCTTAACTTTTTTTGCGAAGGACCCCATCAACGGAATACGGTCGCACGATGGTAAGTTTTTCACGGCTCTGCAAGGAAACTCTGCCCCAAAGAACCTTCACTTTTTGGGAATGGTTTTACGCTGTGATGAAACTAACACGAGAGCATCTTCGTGATCTTTGGCATGACGGGTAAGTCCCATTCTCACAACCAGTCTATACATTTTGTTATAAGATAAACTTTTTGAGTCAATGAATTTCATAGATCTGTGAGAGCCAAGCATAAGAGAGAATCATAAGTTGATTTGAAGGAGAAACTCTAAAAGTCAGAAACAATCATTCAGATCGTATTAAAGCTTAGTCTTACTTAGGACCTAGTAACTTAGTCTTAAGTAGCTTAGTCTAAGTAAAAAACAGTGGTATAGTGTCGTTTTTCGGCACAACGTTCATTTGTTAAACAAATATTGTTAATTTTTTCGTGATGAAATCAATGAGCTGACAAAGTAGTAACAGATGCCCAAGTCTTGCTGTTATTTTATATTTTCTTTAAACGTGATCCGGCATTTCCAACATATAGAATATTAAATAATTAAATCTGTCATTTTCTAAAAGAACAACAAAGGAAAACCACAATGCAATGTATAAAATGTAGCTCAAAAAGGGAGCACCACATTACAAATATTTCATTATTTAAATCTTATGTCAGTACTTGTAAATGTAAATTTGAAAGTTTAGAGGATTCCATCCTTCCAATTAAATTTAACCTTTGTTTATAATTTAGAAAAGAAAGATAGAACAATAATATACTAATCTTCAATATAATTAATTTATCTAAATTTGTATTGCCACGCATAACTGTAGGATCGGAAGCTTTTGGGCTGAAAATTATTAAAAACGCAACAAGGAGTGAGAATTAGCGGTGTCCTCCAGGTAAGGTGAGCAGCTCTTAAAAAAAAGGGACATTGTGACTTTCTCTTGACTAAAAACGAGACACATGACATCACAAAACGCAACATTACACATTGTAGTAAACATTTATAGAAACAACATTAATGGAAATTAATAGCACGAATAAAAGGAAAACAAGCCTGCATTTTGTAGGAAATACTTTTTGTAAAAATTGGTAAAATATTTGCAAGTTAGAAGGACATTAGAACGGAACATTCAAAAAATTCTTATTTGTTTCGTTTGCACTTCTATTCATTACAAAGTTGGCCCGTATTCCTCAAATAAGGTTGCTTGCTAAGTCGCCGTTTTCTGGCGCCCGATTATATAACTTCCTCTTCTTATGAGAGATTTTCGTAAGGGCGGGAAAGTAAAAAGAAAACTAAGACATTATGACTTTCTTGAATTTGCGTGAGAACCATGGATGAACGATGTGTTCTGCCTAGAGCAACGGCCGGCATAGAATTAATTCTGAAGAAAATTTTTCATTGAGAAATAATTTTTATCTTCATTGATGATAGAGAGACTTGAAACAAATATTTGGAATTTTCAAAACTTCAGAGGTTTTCCTGTTAATGGGACCAACGCAATTTTATAATCATACTTAGCTTTTATTTGAGAAAATATTTTTCAGAAAATTGTGAAAATGTTATGCTAGAACCTAAATTTAATAGGAGTGCAGAACGTATTTGATTATCACATGTCTTAATTTTTCAGCTACATTTTGGGCTTTGTTCGCAAAAAGGATGCTGAAGATATGCTGTCTTCCTGCCCCACAGGAACGTTTCTGCTCAGATTTTCTGATTCAGAACTGGGTGGAATAACAATCGCTTGGGTCGGAGGTACATACCCTAATCTTCATTTTGTGAGATATATGAGGAGATGAGCTCTACCAGCAAATTTCGAGAGGTATCTTCTGATGTCCCGCGAGCAAATAGTCGCTCTTTAAAACGATCACTTATCCACACTATTTACACGAGAAATGGGCAGCTCACGAGTCCCGTAAGTGTAGTGCATGATTTAACGCGGGAGGTGGCTGTGGATGGCGAGAATCGGCGCCGACCTACGTGGGCCTGCAGGAATTTGTTTTCGCCAGGTACTCTTACCTCCCACCAGCGGAGCACCGTCCCAGCCGGGACAGCTCAAAGCTCCAGACTCGACTTCAGACGTGTGTGGTAGTGTAGTGCATGCAAGCAAGAGGTTAGGACAAGGAAGACGTAGGAAAGATTGCGAGCGGTCCGTGACCCGTTTGTTAGGGTACTGCTCCTGCATTCGCCTGTTGTTGATGGGGGAAACCATATGGAAAACGACCCTGACGATCAGCGCAACCAGCCGCTGGAATTCTCCTCCAGACAGCAGCAGAACTCGACCCAGCCATCTACCTAGGGTCGAAAATCCTGCCACCGTCGGGATTCGAAGCCTAGGTCCTTCCGGCCAGAGGCACTGCAGCGACATCAGTTGATCTCCTGAGCCAATTAAGCCGCTACGAAACACTAGTTTTAGACAAAGAAAAGTCACACGTAAGACTTGTGCTTGAGTCGGGCACAATCGACCGAGGGATATTCATTTTGGAAACATTCCTGCCAATAGTTTAGGCGCGAGTGTTGTTCACAGACGGATTGATGAACAATTTACCCTATCAAGGATCTGTAAATCAACAAATTTGACTACACATGTTATAAAAATTAATTTACTACACATTGATTAAAATGTATCTACTTCCGGACCACGGAACGTGCGCGATGTTTCCTTCCTCTTCCTATACTCACCACCTACTTACACTTCAAATCACTAGACTACCACACATTCTGGGAGGCCTGTTGGTAACTTCGAGCATGTCCCGGCTGGCGGGAGGTACCTGGTTGGGGAAAACCTGCAATCCGACGGGTTCGTCGGCGCCGGATCTCACCATTCACACACACTACACTTACGAGACTAATGATCTTGGATGTTGCCGCACTCGGATTCGCTAGTCAGTGAATGAATAAGGGAAGAGCTACCTCCCGAACTCTGTTGGTACAGTAAAGACTCATTTGTGTGTGTGTGTGTGTGTGTATGGACTACTTGTAATTCCATTGAAATAGGGTGGCCATTTGAGTAAGAATAAAATGCAGAATAACGTTTTGTAGATGACAATTCATTTGACCATACAGGACGTCGACACTTCAAAAATAAGCTCTTAAGACAATTTTAAGCACGTCTAATAAATAAAGTGGATATTTCGAATGGATGAGCCGCAATAAGCATATAAGTTGGTTTGAAAAAATGATTTCTAGGCAAAAATGTGCATTACATAAGCATAGAAACACTCCAGAAACATGTAAATTGGTTATTATTTACAAAATAAATTAATATACTTGTTCAGAAAGAAAATTTAAGCGAGAAGTAAAAGCAGTCTAGTTATGTAAATTTAGTGCTTTTTTTAAATTCCTGGGTTAATTTTTCTTTCTGAACAAATACATTTTTTCTTTTGTAAATAATAAACAATTTACGTGTTTCTATGCGTCTATAATGCAAAGTTTTGCCTAGAAATATTTGTTTTCAAACAAACTTTTGAGTGCTTGTTGGAGCTCATCCTTTCGGAATATCCCAGTAGTTTATTTGACAAAATATGCTTAAAATTGCCTTAATTGTTTATTTTCGACGTTTCCTCCCCGGACATTCTGTATACGGTGGAATATACGCTTTTCAGAATAATATATTCCTATCATGAAATCACCATTTGCAAGCGTACGTACGTTGGACAGTACATCACATTCGTGATCAACGATAAAAAATGTTGTTGCCTAAATGTTCGCGTTTGCTTTATTTGAAAATCTAAATATGGTATTTAAAAGAACATTGTACAGTGTAGCCATCGCAAGAGATCATGGCGTATTATTGCAAAATAACTTAAGAACATTTGTTTTAAATAATTAAAAGATGGTGATGCACGCATTGAACACCAGTATAGTACTGGCTTTTCAGGTCGAATCTTATTCCGAAAGTAAACACAAGACTACTGAATTCTGAAACTATACACAAGTTCACCTGAAGATGGTGTTAAAGGTTAAAGTCCGGTTAATAAGTTACGTTACACAGTTAATATAAAATAAAATTATGGTACAAATACTTATTTAAAACCTTAATTTAAGAACAAAAGTGATCTGATAGTCCTTAATTAAAGAATTTTCAGATTAATTAATTGAAGTTAACAGACAATATTGTACTCAAAAATTAAAATGTATGCTGAAAGAACTTGAAGGATTTGTAATTTTTAAATATTTCTAAAATTTCTAGATAAGAATGAAGTGTTGATGCTGCAACCCTTCACCTGCAAGGATTTTGCCGTTCGTAGTTTGCCAGACAGGATTTCCGACTTGTCGCAACTTCTATATTTGTACCTTCACATGCCAAAAGATTTGGCTTTTGGAAAGTATTACACTCCTTTTGATGGTATGTCTTAAAACCTTTTTGTTTTCATGGTAATTTGTAGTAATTTAATTAACTATATGTACAACGAAGTTCTAATCAGATTATCAGTAAGACTTCATGTCATTTTTCGTATACTATGTTTTTGATGAATGATGTTACCTTGCTGAGAGTGTTCGTAGACAAATTCACAGTAATTAATGTGAATTTATATTAATTATTAGGTTAAGAGTATCCGTTAATAGCTGCACAGTTTTCTCTCACATTTGGGAAGTGTTTTATTTCCTTTACAAAAACAAAATTCCTTATCGAAAAGTTTTTTTATTCTCACGAGCAAATTTTTAAATTTGTACGTACAGAAAAATTATTTGTCAGAATCTTTAAAAGCAAGTAATTAACTTAAAGTAATCTTTTTTATGAATTTTCATCCAGAAAAATTATATCAAATTTATTTTAAAAAATTATACCAATAGATTGGTTATTGTTTGATTGTCGTTAATTGTAGATGTGTAGTATGATTACAAACTTTCAAAGAAATGTATTTTCTTGTATATAGATCACTATATATTTATTTTGATAACTAATAATGAAAATACTCTCGTGAAAGATCCTAACAAGGAAAAACTCGTGAATTTTACTATATGTTAAAATCTTTGTGTTACTGTTCAGAGGTAAAAAAATAATAAAATAGTTTGGTTGCACCAAATTTTACCTTCGTAAATAAGAAGGGGTTAAAATGTTGCTATCCTTGTTTAAATTCGACCAATTTCCTATGTTCCATTCACTAATTGAGAATTTCTGTAAGCCAGTTTATTTTCATTCTCCTGATGTTTTTTACTCTTAAAGATAAATAGAGTCATTTATACTAAGACTATGAACAAGGATTCATTTTCTCATTCGGAGTTAAAACGTTGGTGTGGTTAATGAACTCAAGAATATAATATAAATGAAAAACATGAAAAGAGACAAACCATTAAGGTCATCTCACTAAAAAGAAATTATATAATAAAGGACTGACAATGAAACATAGTGTTAAGAGTATGCAAAAACTGTCACATTTCCAAATTAGTTGGTTTTGTGCTGCAAATGTGGTTAAGTTAAATAATAGTAATTTATGGAACAAGGACGCGAAACAGGTGATTCCCGCACGTCTCGAGTTTTGACAAAGAGGAATAAGCTCGTGCCCGTGTTACATATACTATTTTGTAACACGTGAGTGAAACGCAATATTGAACGCAAAGGACTATAAATTAAATATCAAATAACTAGAAATACCTTACCTGTACAATGGTAAGCAGATTCCAGTTATTATTACAATTCCAGTCGTAATTCTATTGTTTGTAAATAATAAAGAAAGACGTCGTCAAGACGAAAGACAAGTGCGAATCGTTACAGATGTTTCGCACACTGTAAAAAAATTAGCTGTTTCGCACACGGCAAACAAGCCCGAGAAACCGCGTTTCGCGCACGTCGTGTTAAAAAAATTGGCCACACCGTACCACATTGGACTACTTAATTCAAATCTCGTTCTTTTTCGCCCAGGGAACCCCCCAGTCAACGGGTACGTGAAGCCTTTGCTGGTGACACATGTGCCTGGCGTGAGCAGCTTCAACTCGCTAAATTACTCCAGCTCTTCCCAGTTGGAGTCACACTCCCTTAACGACAGTACTCAACAAGAGTCTCCTTCCGTTGCGTGTGCTAATACGTCTGTTAGCAGGTGAGTATCTGCCACGCCGTTCATTGAAACTTAAGACAATCGCCAGGGATTAGAGGTGCTTGACCTATTTGCAATAATGTTTCCACAAGAAGATTCTCTTTCTCCCTCCTTCTCTCTCTCTCCCTCTGTCTCCCTCTCTCTCTCCCTCTCTCTCTCTCCCCCTCTCTCTCTCCCTCTCTCTCTCTCTCTCTCTCTCTCTCTCTGGCGACTCGCCTACGAAAGAAGCTTCAAAAAAGCCAATATCAATGTTTAAAAATTATGTTATAAACAAACAAAAATATTCTTCTTCCGTTGCGTGTGCTAATACGTCTATTAGCAAGTGAGTATCTGCTTAAGTCGTTGATGAATATTGTAAATTTATTAAACGCTCACATCTCACTTCGTTTCCTTTCATCCTGTGTTAGTTAATTTAGACCGCCAACAAGAATGAAATTCCCCCTCCTTATTAATCTAATGGTGTCACAACAAACACGTGCGGAATTATATTAGAGTAATAAGACTCGGGACGTTTGGGAGAAACAAAAATCTGTTGGAACAGCGGGATGCATGTAATATTCAGATCATATCCTGCTTTTTCAGGACGTATGGCAACCCTATATGCGGGGTTGGGCGATAAACTTTAAATTTAGTATTAAAATACTTCTCCAAATACTTTGTAAATAAGTATCCATAGTCAATGTACAGTACGTTTTGATATGCTACATACATACGTATTTCAAATACTTCAACTACTCAAAATACAGTAAATATATAATAATTTTGTAATATATGCACGTAATAATTTTTTAAACCTATCATCACTCGATAAACCACTAGTAGACGATATATAAAACACGCAAAGGAAAACAGCCGTTCAACTGGCACGAAAAAACATAAACAAGTGTTATAACGAATAAACGCTTTTTTATTGACGGAGAATTGTCCAACGTTTTTAACGATTAAGCTTTATTATTTAAGAAAAATTCTATACATTGAATAAAATTCTGCCCTTTACATAAAAAATCCGTTTCGAACACGAGGCTATAGAATTTTATAGTATTATAAAAATGAAGATTTACCACTGGTTTAGCATTTGTTGAGAAAATGATTATTAAGTCTTTGAGAATTTTTGTATACTTTTTATATTTTCCCATTAAAATCAGGAAATAAGGGAAACTAATTTAATATCTCGCCATTTGCGAACTTCAACAAATATAAAAGCGTGAGAAGTATCGCGCGCGCCGTAGGCGTGGGGTCTACGTCTCTACCGGCTGAGGTGGCTCAGAGCATCAACTGACGTCACTGCAGTCCCTCTGACCAGGAGGTCTTTGTTACGAGTCCCGACGGTGGCAGGATTCTCGACACAGGTCGAGTTCAGTCGCTGCCAGGAGGACAAATCTAGCAGCTGGCTGTTCTAAACGGTAGTTTTCCGTGGTTTCTCCGATCAATCTCAGGCGAATGCCGGAGCAGAACCCTAACAAACGGGACACTGACCGCGCGCGATCTTTCCTTCCTCTTCCTTGTCCTATCCTCACCCTTATTTATACACTCTTTCGTGCACTACACTACCTCCAAAACATTGATGAATTCGACCCAGTTGTCTAGCTAGTGTCGCAAATGCTCTCAGTGTAGGGACTCAAACTCTTCGATGTCCAGGACAAAAGGGGTGCAGCGGCATCAGTTGATGCCCTGAGTCAAGTTTGTCGGTTTTAACTGTTAGCACTAACTAGCACAGTTAAGCAATTCGGGTACCGACGTCTGCCGGTGCTGAAAGTGGTAGTAGTACTGGTGGTATGCGCAATTATAGCGATTTTCTTAGTGACGGTTGTTTTCGTTGAGGTTTTAGTAGCCGCGATATTTGTAGTGATTGATGGTACTGGCTTTGGTAGTGGTGGTAGTTATAGCGGTTTTGGTAGGGTGTTGATCATGATTGTGGTGGTGGGACTGGATGTAATAGAAGCAGATAAATTAGTGGTGGGATTATCCGCCACTGATGGTAGGATTAATGGTAATGGAGGTGGTAGTAAGCGGAGTAGTAGTGCGAGTAGAAGGAATAGGTGTAGCTTTGTAATGGTAGCAGCAGCAATTAAGAAGTCTGTTTCGGACGGATAATAAAACTCGCAAAAACTGCAGACTCTCAAAATTATAATATTGCGTAGCCGTGTCAATATTACCGGAAGGTATGTGCTGTTGTAGCACCAATAGGTTTTTCTTTATACCGTTTTTTAATTTAATCGTTAAATTTTTACAGGGAGCTCTAGTACACTTTAATATCAAGTTCTAATAAATGTATTTTATAATTTTGCAGTGTGATGGATTGCTGAGTGCAGGGCAGAAGTCTGCTATATATCCCTCGACGAACATGCAGAAGTGAAACTGAAGAATATACTGGCAACACAATATTAAAAATTATGAGTTTGTATATTACAATGGCGGAAAAGGATTATTTGTTTATTGCTTCCGTCAGTTTGAAGTGCAAAATAGACATTACCCAATGTGGTAATAACCAGCTATCTGACTAATAATATTTCCCCTCTGTACATTTTATTTTGTTCCCATATACTATTAGTTTTTTAATTAAATAAATAAATTAACTTTCTAGAAGTGTGGTTCTGTAGAAGTATTTTTGGGGTAAGGAAAGAATTATAGAACACATTGCACTGTTTGAGGGTAATTTTATTGGGATGATTGTTTCCGGCTAGCAATGTTTACTGGCAAATGTGCGAGTCTCTTCCGTTTTGATTTTGAATTAACTTCCGTTGTGCAACTGAAATGACAAAAAACGTTGCGCATATTGGAACATCGAAAGTCGATAATATATTAGTTATATCAATGCAGGTGTCCGTATATATATATATATATATATATATATATATATATATATATATCACGAGAAAGAAAAAAATGTTTACATATAAAAAAGGAATATACTAATTGTTCGTTTATTTTATATTTTTCTGAAGGTACGTAAAATTTCTTTGTACAGTAAAAAACTTGATAAAATTTTAAGTGCCATAATTGTACAGTTTTTCTTCTGAAATTGCTCGGTGAAATTGTGCAATGTTTCGTGCTTAAATCACTACACACAACTCAAGGGCTCAGTAGAACAAAGGGCTATCCCACATTTATTGCGAAATTTAGTTATTAGCGTAATACAAAACTTCAAATATAAATATTTTAGCGTAATATGTTATTGAAATCCAGTATGGATTTATATACAAGTGAACTATTTAAAAGTTTAAAAATGTAGTGTTATATGAGGAAAATACAGGTAAAACCCTCATTATCTTAGAACTACATGTATGTGAGCTAGTCCATTGTTTTAGTGAGCCCTTCAATTGTGTTCCCTCGAGAAATGGCGGAGATCTTCCCCGCTGGATGAAAAGATCCGACGCAGACCTGCCCGTCAGTTTGCGGAGTTTTCCCCACCAAGTATCTCACACCAGTGGGCACCACCCCCGCCGGGCCAAGCCTTGAGCTCCCTAGTGGTTACCCGACGTGTGGGGCATGTAAGTGTAAGTTCGTGTAAGTAAGAGGTGAAAAATAAAACATGGAAGAGGAAAGAAAGATCGCGAGCGGTCTGTGGCCCGTTTGTTGGTGTACTGCTCCGGCATTTTCCAGGTGTTGATAGGAAAAACCATGGAAAACTACTGATCAGAGGAGCCGGCCGCTAAAATTCTCTTCTAGACAGCAGCTGAACTTGACCTAGCGGTCTAGCAAGTGTCGAAATCATGACACCGTCTGGAGTCGAACCTAGAACCTCCCGGTCAGAGGCACTGTAGTTGAAATCACTTCATTGAAACTTAAGACAATCGCTAGTGATTAGAGGTACTTGACCTACTTGCAATAATGTCCCTATCAGGATTCTCTCTCTCTTACTCTCTCTCCCTCTTTCTCTGTCTCCCTCCCTCTCTCTCTTCTCTCTTTCTCTCCTCTCTCTCTTCTGTCTCTTCTCTCTCTCCTCCTCTCTCTCTCTAGCGACTCGCCTACGAAAGAAGCTTCAAAGAAGCCAATATGAATGTTTAAAAATTATGTTATGAACTATGTGACAATTGTCATACGTAGATATCGGATCTTTATGAAATTGCACATTTCTTTCGTTGAGAGATAGAAGTCCGGAGATCAATTTCCTCCGCTTGAGAGTCCCTAGACACTTTTTCATATGAAATATTTTCTAGAGTTCGTTGTTTCATTAAGGCCACGCACATTTCCCCAAAAATTACATTACACTTATTACATTTATCAGTTCGTGGGGTTTAAATGTCACATAAAGTTTCTCGAAAACAACCATTTACTGTGAAAACTTGCTCAAAATTCCGACTTTCAAAGCATTCAAAAGCTAATTTCTAAAACACGGCTCCTAATTTTATCTCCAAACATTTCGTACGGATAGCGCAAGTTGCACTGTTTATGTTGACAAAAATAAATTTACTGTATTTTTTTAAAATACATTTAAAAAAATATCTTTCACGTCGTTAATACGCACATTTTCAGCGTTTTTATATATTATTGCATTTGTGAGTGGTAGCGCTTCAAATGACTTTGAGTTAAATTTTTCGAAAACTAAAAAATGTTTTGTGAAAAAGAGCTTTAAATTTCATATTTTCAGAAACGCACAAAAGCCATTTTCTCAAAAACGGGTCCAAATTTTTCAAACGTATCCAAAGAATAGTGGTAATTACACTGTTTAATCTGACATGAAATTCATTAGGCTGTAATTTTTTAAATACGCAAATGTATTTCTTTAAATATCTCTCACGCCGTTAATATGCACACTTCCAGCAATTTTTAAACGCTATTTCGTTTGTTGAAGTGCTTCAAATGAATTTCAATGATGTTATTCGAAAATTTCGCATACTATTTAGGTTCTACCATTAGAAAACCAAAAATTGAGAATTAAAAAAGTACTATGAGTGATGATAGATGGCAGCTGGCAAGAGTATGTGACAAGTCCGAAAAGCTAGCCCAGACCAAAGAAATCAGAAAAATAATACGAGAAACTGTGTGCCATTCTGTAGCACCACTAGTAGATGGGTTGTTGATTTTATCAAGTGCCTGATTATGACGCAATAGGATGCTCATCATCTATTGATTGTCATTAATAGCCCTAATTCTTGCTTTATTGCTCAAACATACATCATCTGGCAAATCTAAAACTCTAGACACACAATGCACTCAAATTACAAATCTAAATATTTTCCATTATTCTTAATTTTGGAAATTTATGGGTGGGAGGTATTACAGTGGCTCAAGGTAAAATGACTGCCTTCTTGGTATGATTGACTCAAGGTATATGACTGCCAATAAATAGCAACACTATCAATTTTGTTCCTTTAAATACTTAATAAGAAGCAAAAATCTATAAATAGTATATAATACCAGGTGTATGCATAAGTCTTTTCCAGTTTCACTAAGAAAAGTGTCCAGCTAACAGTACGCAGCGTATGAATTTTACACTCTGCCAGTTTGTTCGTCTGATATTAATCCACCGACACACAAGTTAAGTCGGCCAAAATTAGCGTCTTTGTGATATCGTTCAGAGGTCATATCGACGTTTGTGCGTGAGAAAAAACATTCCTTATTTAATCAAAAGAAAATAGTTTGTGGAAAGTCATCGTTTACTAATAAAAACATATGGTAAACACACTCCAGGGATTAGAACATGTGAGGAATAGTTTCGACAATTTAAATGTGATGATTTCGATGTCAAAGACAGTGCGTGCTCCGGTGGACAACACGAGTGCAATTGCAGATGTTGTTGGATGATGATCCATCAAACTCAACAGCAGTTGGCAAAAGCATTAAATGTGTGACAAGAAACAATCAGCAGACGTTGACGAGCAATGGGGAAGATCTATAAACTCGGTAAATAGGTCCCACACTATTTGAATGAACGGCAAATGCACGACACTGCGCTCTATCACACAGCAAAACCAGTGAAAAACACCTTGAAATGGCTTGGATGGCACATCCTTCCGCCCCCGCCGTACTCCCCAGACCTCGTGACGACTATCCCCTCTTCGCATCAATGGAGCACGCGCTCGCAGAGCAGCACTTTACCAATTTCGAGAAAGTTGGAAAATGGCTCGACGAATCGTTTGCGGCAAAAGACAAGCATTTTTTCTGCCATGATGTTCATAACTCACCTGAAAGATGGGCAAAGTTGTGTAGAAGCCAATGGCCAATATTTTGAATAAATAAAAAATGAATTACCCCTAAACATTACGTGTTTTCTTTACCACACATACTGGCAAAAATGTATGCATACACCTGGTGTATCTAGTGGTGACAAAATTTAGCTTAAAGTTTTTTAGGAAACCAAAGTTGCATGCGCTGGAAACTTTACTTTCGGCATCACGAAATGAATTCAGTTAAATGTGAATACATATTGAAAATAAAAATGAATTCAGAATAATCGTAGATATGCAAATGAGAGCAATAGTATTGCTACCATCCCACACTTAATTTTTCTCAGCGTTTTTTTCAAAATCACTCCTGATCCGAGGTATAATGTGGTGCAAGATAGAAGATTTCCCTCAAGCGGTTGTATTGTACAATCGTTTAATTTTTGTGGCATGCGAAAACAAAGAAACAATTGAACTGTATTTTTATTATGAATTTGATACTCGCAATATATTTGAAGATTGTCTGGTAAACAAGGGAAGCTCAGAGAGCGAAACAGTCAACATTGTTGAAAGGATAAATGTCTATGATTACTCATGAGTGTAATTATATTGATAACCTGTACATTTTCTCTGTGCTCGATAAAAACCTTGAAAATAAAGTGAACATATGCGGAAATGTTTGTGTTATTTAAAAGAATATGTTTCTTAACTAGTTGAAATAAATGAATATATCATATAATGTTTGTTAAATTGACTTATTGAAAAAAGTTTCAGGTTTTTATAATGTTATTTTTTTTTCAAAGTGTCCAGCTATGCACACCATAGAAGAAAGTGTTTCGAAGAAGGGCGAATTAAGTATCTCTCGTTCATGAACGACGTTTTGTTTGCTGCTAATGTCTTCGAATAATGGAGGTTAGCTATGCCAATGTTTTACGTAGTCTCAACTAGTAAACAATTAGTTCATTTTTTTATACGCGACATAACTGGTGATAGAATGACTTATGGTCACAACTGACATAATTCTACATTTCCACCTCACAATGCCTCTTTCACAGCAATCTGAAATAAACTTTTCAATCAATCTGGGAAATGGTAATGCATCAAGGAGAGTGGCGTGTAATATTCCATTCCAATTCACATTAAGTTAGCGTTATATTTCAATATATATATATATATATATATATATATATATATATATATATATATATATATATATATATTAATTTTTGTTAACTAGACTTGGGTTTGGTTAGTTACGCAACTCCACATTTTCTAAAGAAATATAAGAGAATGACTACAAGCTTCCTACATTTTACCTTTCCGTATGCTCCAATAAAACACAAATGAATCGGTTCTTTTTAAAACCCCGCGAGCAGACGGCGTTAGGCCTGGGCAGACAGGGCGATTGCCCAGGGCCACGCAATTCAAGGAGCCCGAGGA